CGGGTGCACAAGGAGATGCGGCACCAGAAGCTCTACACGCAGTACACCGTGAACCCGCTCCAACCCGGTGAGGCGGGGGCGGCCCCGCAGCGCTCAGCTGCGCGGTGGGGATAGGCAGCTGCACCCAGGAATGGCAGCAGCGGCCAGGGACAGGGGTAGAGCTGGAAGGAGCAACCGGTGGGCCTTTCTTTCGCCTGAGGAGCCGGTCTGCACACTCAGAGGCAGCAAGGAGACATGCCCCGGATAGCCTTTAGTAACCTTGGAGAAGTGAGGCAACTATTTAGGATGCGGAACCTACAAATCCCGAGCAAATACAGAGCCAAGATGGGGTAGGGAGCCCAATCACTACACCACGTTCCTTCAGCCCTTGGACCTTCTACCCGTCAATTCAGAGTCACAGAATATCACAGTCTGTGCTGGCACAGACAGGTGATGGGAGTAGATTCATTCAGGTCTAGCTTTTGCAGTAAAAAAAAAACCAAAGGAAAATAATTTCCTGAGACTTGGCACTCGCAGGCCACCACTTGGGTGGGGTGGGACTTTGGGGTGGTGAACACAGGCAGCATTCAGTAGAAGGGCCTTCAGCATGCTTAAGCCCCTTGCCTTCCTAGGAAATTGCCATTAATCAGTATTTCTAACTCATTTTCTGCTATTCACGTGCCGTTCTTCCTTTACAGCTTCAGTGAAGTAGCTGGATCCACACTGGGGAATAACCAAAAAGAACATCTGCAATGATACATATTCTGTACCTGGCTGTGATGCTAAATTCATGTTATTCACCTGTATCATTTCTTTCCAGTTTACACAGTCACCAGGAAGCCAATGTCTTGGCATGACAATATAGACGAGCCAACAGATGGTAAGAAATCTCTGAAAAATCTTTTTCTCAAAATTACCTAAGAAAATTACTAATAAATAAGATTTAATAATTCCAATCAGTCTAAAACATCATGTCTGTGGAAATGCCTCTGTGACCATACAAGAAAATTAAAACTTGTTCATGATTTTTGTTAAATGTGAAGCAGGTTTTATTCCACTTTAAGGCCCTTTCCCATTACTTTCCATTATCAGCAAAAGTTTGCATTCATGCAATTGTGCTATTTGTTTTTAGTTAAAAACTATACTACACTATAAAATATATAGAAAATTCTTTATAGTCATATTATAACATTTTGCTTGAGAATCTAAACCTCCCCAAAACAACTGGAAACATGATCTACACATACATGTTGCCTGTCACTGCAGATTCTACTTAACCACCACACATAGTAAACTGCTGAAATGACTGTCCAGTCTTGCTTCAGAGCACTGGTAACAAGAACCCTGATAGCAGCTGCTCCCTTATTTCTAACATGCTAATTTTGTCTAAAAACCTTAATGCTCAGGTAAGAATTAACAGGACAGTATCACCAGGCAAATCTTGAAAGTGCATCAGGAAATACTGAAGCAGAAACGTCACCCTGCATTCTCTGACACTGTAATTCATAGAAGCACAGAGGTTGCTCTTATCCTTGGCTTTCTTGCTATAGCTTGGACAGCATTAAGTTGTCCCATTCTAACACACATCCACAGGTGAGTGATTTTTAAATTTTTAAATACTTTCATTTCTATTTGTGTCTCTTAAACCAACAGACGAGTTCCTGAAACTTTTTCACCGCGCAGCACTGCAGCCAAGACAGAAATATTCAGAGCCGCAAACTGAAAGCCAAGAAATTGGCTGGAACACAACACCTCTGGTGAGTAGGACTCAGGTCTTTGCAGGATTCAGAGGTGTTCAGCCCACCACTGAAAGATACACATGCAAGACAATAATTTGTGATAAACATGGAAAACAGGAATGACCAGGAGTGAGCAGAGCTGTTCATAAACAGTTTTTAAAACTTAGACCTAAGAGGACTCTTCACACTGGCACAGGCTTGTGAACACAGAAACAGCAGACTTCCCCTGAGAAACCTGATTGCAAAATATGTACAGTGACAATGGACCCCAAGCACAGTGCCAAATGCCACATGTGTACTCACTGTTTACTAAAGCCTTCAGCCATGAGAAATGGTGTAGTGAGCAACGTGAAGTGACATATGTAAATACTGTGAAAAGAAATCTGCTGCTGCATGGTATCTTTCAAACAAAAGTGCAAGCAGAACCATGAAATTAATAATCATCTAAGTATACCCAAGGCAGATACACCAGTGAGGATTCATCTGGGGAAGCGTGAGTAAATAGGAGATAAAGAAGTATGATTAACAAGCTGAGACATCAATCATACCTGACAAACGAATAGCTGTGATGATGGCTGACTTTACAGATTAGTGTTTTAAGAAAGGCAAGTGAGGATCTCATTAATTTTGGCCTATTACAAAGAAAACTAAGACAAATAAGAAAATAAGACAGTTTTCCTCAACTTTTCATATTATACATCAAGTAAACTAGTCACTCCTGACAAGGGTAGAGACAGACATGCCAGCTGGGCTTTATGGTGTTAAAATAGTGCTGGTAGGATTAGACTGGCAGGAAAGAGGCAACTAAATGTGCATGAAGGGAAGCAAGTTCAATTTATAGGGTCAAGGCTCATAATGCTGTTTAATTTGTTAACCTTGCCTTTTTCAGCAGGTTCTACCATAATGAAGCAGTTCTACCATAACGGTGTGGTGGTACCCTGCTCGTTTTTCACTTGGACATTTCTCAGCAGCAAGAACACCACGCATCACTCTTCCCAGGAGGAACTACCAATTTTAGCAACAGCACATGACTATTTGTCATTTTTCTTTCCCAGATTCCTGTGGACCGTAATGATTGCAGACTCCACTTCCCACGCCGGAAAACCGAGTTCACTACATAAATGGCTGCCCTGGGGCATGGGGAGGAGGAGAGTAAGAACCTTCAGTAGTAGGGGGGAAAGCCACAAACTCAGATAGACATCTAATGTGTTAGGCCTGCTTGTTAATAGGCAAGTCTGGTAGACTTCTAGTAACAGACAATAGAAAAGGGAAGGGAGAACCTCAGTCTGTCCAGATTTGCAGCCTGACAACACTGACAGAAATAAACTTATAAGACTGCTGTATTCATCTCATTGCTGTTTCTAAACCCATCTATATGAATAGTCTAAAAAACCACTCTAACATTTTGACAGGCTTCAGACTTCTTATTTTGACATCAGCAACATGACTCAGACCTCGAGGTCTCCAACCTCACATCAGCAGTAGTGGTGAAAAAGGCTGTCAGAATGAAGGGGACAAAGGGCAGGCTCCAGCTGCCATTCATAAAACAGCTAAACATGAGTTACACATAGTTCTGTGCAAACCATTTAATGCATTCACACACCAAAGGTTTACGTAGAAAACAATCCTTCAACAAAACAGGACGAAGAAATTAGTGATAAGGCACTGGTTTCCACTGACTCTTTTCCATGCCACTTGGAAGCATCCAGCTTGCTCCATGGTTAGCTGCTTGATGCCAGCAGAAGCACATCTTGCAACACACAGACACACAAGAACCCCAGTGGGAAGCACAGTCCTCTTAGCGCGCTCGGTTCTTCATTTTCTGCCTTGCTCTCTTTCCAGGTCTCTTCTGCAACAAACAGACAGATTGAGATCTTTATTTTCAAGTTCTCAATATATGTTCTATTTCTATAGCTTGGGGAGGATACCAAGGAGAGGATATTTGTCAGTACATCTGGAGAGGGAGGTTTTAGCACACAGGCAGCAAGTGGTATTAACTCCCTTGCTCATTTCCCTGCTGATACCAAACCACTGTTCTCAGCTCTGTCAGCAACCCAGTTATGCTCAGCTCCCAAAGGCATTATCACTTCCTGATGCTGTAGGCACCCATCATGTACTCAGCTCTCCCTCCCAGATTAGGGCTGGCTTCTCAGCCAACCAGGAGTGTTTGCACACAACATTTTACTTACATTGAGGGCTTTTTTCCCTCCTTTTCTTGCTTTTCCTGGGCCTTTGTTGTGAGCCACTTTTGACTGGAAGCTGGATACATCATTAAAACTTTCCTTTGTGTTCCACTTTGAGCCTTTCTTCTTCCCACCAAAACCAAACTTCTGATTTTTGTATCGTCTTTTGGCATTTGGTCTGAAAAACAACCAAACAGCATCATTGCCCTACATTCCTTTCCTCAGGAAGCTCTCAAGGCACAGGTATGTGCTGATGGACTCCCAACAGCCATCATAAACCTTTTCCCCCATAACAAGATGCAGAAATTAGCACATTTCAGTCTCCGTGCCATTCTGGCCAGTTTTATTTCTCTTTAGGGACAGAAAGCCACCTTGGACTTATTTTAACAAACACTCATCAGAACAGCTTTCATGCTCCCAAAATTATCCCCCAAAAAGACAGAAAAGAATCAGACATTCTGTGTTTAAACATCTTTCATTTCCAGCCTCACCCCTTCTTTGTCCGTTGACTTGCACTGCCTTTTTTATTCCCCTGAGACGACGTCTGCTCGTCATCTAGAAAGTCCAGCTTGTCAGACAGCCCTGCAAGAGCAAAGACATCACAGCTCAGAAGAAGCAAATTTTCAGTCTAAGGAAGGAATAGCACCAAGTCACCCTCACTGAAGAACAGCTACCTGGGAGGCTTTTCACTGGCACTGGCACACGGTTCTTTCTGCACAGCAGCCTCTCAAGCTCAAGGCCCAGAACTACAGATGTGGTGACCACCCATCACGCTGCCTTACATTGCTCAGACACCACTGCTGCCATCACACATTTGCTCTCTTAGTCAAGTTAACTTTACCTTTCTGGTATTTCTTGACTGCATTCAACATATTTTTTTTCTCCTTCTGTCTCCTCTGCAGAATCTCGGTTTGCACCTGTGATTAGAAGCAGAATGTTAGTTTTGTTCCTTGCAGTGTCCCATAATTTTTTTTAAGCTATTCTTTTAAAGGTATCCTATCTTTAGCTCTGTTTTCCTTCAGAGCAGCTAGACAGAAGACTAGACAAATTCTATATATTTTAGCAAGACTCTGGTGGTCTCACTTTCCAAGCTGCTCACTCAGGCTCTAGATTCTTGTCACAGATTGTAGCTCCCTTTTGCAGCTCCTCACCTTCTTGCCGTATTTTCTCATTGCACGGAGCTGTTTTGCTTTCTCAGACCTCTCCATTGCTTCCTGTTTACTCTTAAGCTTCTGTCGAATCTTATTAGGGGATAGAAAAAATGAAATTTATGAGTAACACAAAAGAAAATAAGAGAATTTTATGATTGCTTAACAGTCCTTAAGTCAGTATTTGTGAAATATATATGGGTGCAAAAAATCCTCTCTCAATCAGATCGTGCTTATAAGGCATAACATCCTTTCAGATCAAGGCTAAAACAGTTATTACAGAAACTCCTGAACTGATCTGTAGCCAAAACCTGGTTGAAAAGACAATACTCAAACAGAGACAAGACAAAGCCTTATAATGGGCTCTAATGGAACAAAGATTATCTTGTCAGTCTACTCGGGTCCATGAAGAAGATTTGATAGTTTCTGTCTTGTCATTACTAAAAGTAAAGCACTGAAGAAGAGTCAATAATCCTGTGCCACAGAAAACATCTTTTCCATTCCCTCCTTGATCACATTTTTATAAGGATGCCACATTACAAAGGATTACAAGGATTTCAACACAGATCTTCTGGATTCAGTCTGTGACTCCACCAGGAGATAGAAACTGCTGTTCAGACAAAGTCAGCAAAAGAAAAGAACAGTAATGTGCAGAATTGACTTAAGCCTTAGCACAAGCCACTTATTACTCTTCATCTTCTCTAGAAAGGTTCTATCAAACACCAAAACAAGTCATACACGAATCTCCAAATTAGACTCCAGCTTACGGTTTTTTATCTTATACAATGTAGCCTTTTTTCCAAATTTAAAACAAAAAACAGAGTTCCCTTTTGAGCAAAGACTACAGTAAAATGCAAGTTCAGGAAAGTCTTACTTCCTACGCAAATCTGACTTTCTATCCAAAATAGATTCATTCATTAACAGAGTCTAAAATCACCGAGAACCAGAACACACTGACTATAAACAAAGGGTGATAAATAGGAAAAAAAGGATCGTGTAAAAGACACAGTCAACTCTAAGTCCTATGGCAAAGAGCAAAAACACAGCCAACTTTACAACCACTCACACTGAGAAAAATTCTCCATTTTTAATATTAAACACATTCAGGACAAAGTATAAATAGGGTTTTCTACTTTATGTTCCAACCTCTTACAGGATAAAACCAACACATTACACAAGAAAGGAAGACATTGCACATACCTTCTGCATCTGTTGGTCTGATTTGGCCATCTCTGCAAAGTAATCATCCGGTCTCCTGGTCGGAACCTGGAGCTTCCGCAGCCTAGGAAGGGCTTCCAGGACGGCTGCCTGAGCCTGCCGGTAGCTGGGAGAGAGCACAGCACCAGCTCTGTCACTGCACCAGCTCTGTCACTGCATGTCAGGCATCCCACAGCACTGACAGAAACTCTGAGCACACCAGCTGGGAGATACTGGGATCTAACAAGCATTGCTCTAGAATTACATCAACGTTCTGTGCACATACAGTGCTAGTGAACAGGTGCCGGCAGAATATTAAGACTTGTATCTTACATATATGCACTTATTGCCAGTTACAGTTTAATATGCTGGAATACAAAAGGCATAGCAAAACAAAAGAATTGTAAGAACACCAAATCAAACCCACAAAGAAAAATCAATATCTTGTATTACAGCCTTAGTGCTGCTACCAAGGCACTTTTAAAATATACTTTTCAGCAAAGGATGGAAGTCTGCTGGGAGGAGGGAAATTATTTATTTTCAGTCACAAGGCAAGTTAAACATACTAGCATTAATTTGTAGTTATTTTAGAAAACATTCAGAGCCATCAAATCTTAAATAACACGGCCCAAGAGTGCCAGTGACAGGCACCCTGCAGCACACTGGTGAAACACAACTACAAGCACGCAGCAGCACGCTGAGACCCTACATGAAACCTCTTTTTTGACACTTACAAGCTCATCTCTCTCTGGAAATCATTCTCAGGGTCAACAGCATCTGTGCTGGAAGCGCTCTGGGCGACGGGGTCCACGACGGGGCCCAGAGTCACGTCCAGCCTTTCCACCCACGCGAGCTGCTTCCCGAATTCGGCCAGGCACTGCTTCAGGCCGTCCTGCGAGAGAAGCACAGCTCTGCACGGCCCCGCACGGCTGGCCCGGCTCACACCGCAAACCCCCGCCGCCGTGCAGAGCCCCGCAGCCCTCCGTGCCCCGCAGCCCCGCTCACCGCGTCGTTGCGCCGCTTCGGCCGCTCCTCCAGCACCACGTTGAGCCCCGGCTTCAGCTCCCCCCTCGCGAAGGCCTCCTGGAGCTGTGAGACGGGCACGGTCAGGCCGCGGCTGCCGGGGGAGGCCCCGCCGCCCACCGTGGCCCCGGTCTCACCTCCGAGTCCGAGAGCGAGGAGTCCTCGGAGTCCGACCCGAGGTCCGAGAGGGACCCGCGCCGCGCCACCGCCGCCATCGCCGCCGCCGCCACCGCCTCTTTCCGCCCGCGCTGCGCCGCCGCTTCGGGCGCGGCGGGGCCCGTCACCGGGCGACGGGGCAGCGGGGCCATGGAGGAGGCCGTGATGCCCCGTGGCCCGCTGTTCGGCCTGCCGGCCGCGGTGGCCGGCGCGTTTGCTTCTGGAGCGAGCAGGTGCTTGCTGCACGCGTCCGGCGGGCTGCCTGCGGCTGCAACCTCGAGCACAATGGCACACTTCATCCATGGTTTGAGGTGGCACCGACCCGCCCCCCCGCCCCCCGGCCCCCTCCGGCCCCGCGGCCCGCCCTGAAACCGCTCTCCTTCCGCAGCACCGAGAGAGCCGGGGCGTGCAGGCGCTGGCGTCAGCACCAACCGGCGGTCTGGCGGTGGTCGAGGCGCGGGGGAGCAGCCGGTGCTGGAAGGTGTACGATCTGTCTGCGGACGCGGGCGCCGGCGCCGGAGGGCGCCTGGCGACCGCCGAGCTGCCGGCGCGCAGGCGCGTGCTCCTCGCCTTCTCCCCCGACGGCCGGTACCTGGCGACCGCCACGCCATGCCGCGAGGGGGTCCTCAACCCTGCTGGCTCTGGGAGAAGCATCAGCTGGAGGCGGCCGTCCGCCTGCTGGCCCCGGGCAGCGGCCCCTGCCAGGTAACGGCGCCACCTCCGCCCGCTGCCGAAACCCAGCTGTGACAGCCCCTCTGCGGCTCGTTTTTAACACTGCGGTTCGCAGCTGACTGTTTCTTTGGGAGCGCATTGGAATTTTCGGAAAGATGGATAAAAGGATCAAACTTGAGTTCAACAAGTCCCGGGGTGCCAGGTAGCACGTATGTTCATCCTTCAGGATATGTGCACAGTACGTTTTCCGGTGGCCACATGGCTTCTATCCAGGGCAAAAGGAGGAGAGGGCTCCACGTTGTCCACATGGTAGATTTCATACAGTTTCTGTGACCTTTCTTGACATCTGCTGTTGGCCTTCCTCAGCAATAAGACACTGGGCTAAATAAAGTCTTGCTTTGACCTATAATGGGCATTCTCATGTCTGTATGTGTTCTATCACATGAGATTCTCTTACATCACATCAGGTCTATGTCATGGGGCCAGCACAGCTGGCCAGTGCGAGTAGGATGTGTCCCTTGCCTCCCTGCAGAAACACTTACTAAATATATTGGTTGTGCTCAGTAATTGTAACACACTTCTTGAAAGCTCTTGGCCTAGTCCTGCACCTTTTCCTTCCTGCAGTCTTCTATGTGCAGATCAGAGGAGAAGAGTGGCTTGGAGCAGGCTGATGGCACTCAAACAAACCCTGCAACCTGCTTTGGGTGCCCTTTTTTTAGAATCTTTCTTGTAGGGAGGTAAGATGCTTCCAGTACATGCGGTTCAGCTACAAACAGAGTTTAGGTGAACTACTGCATTCATGAGCTCAACTCCTAAAGAGGGGAGAGTGACTATAAAGACTCCCACTGTCTAAAGTCCTATTAAGCTCCATTAAGCTACATCCTGCTCCTTTGTACCACTCATAAAAAATGAGTTCTAACCACCCCTGCTATTCTTCATGTTGGATATTGAGATGGCTAGTCCATCATTTTCACAAATAAACACCTAATTATGTGGATTCATATGCATAATGTTTGCCTGAAATACAGAAGTTATTCCTGGCCTTTAAGAACAAATGGTCACACTTTTCAGGAAGCTTGCTACTGGAAAAACTTGCTAATCAGCAATAAAGAGGTATTTTGGCCTTACTTTTGTAATTTAATTTTGAAGGGCAGAGACAACTTGCTTGATACACAGTTTTGAAAGGGGGAAAACTGCAATATGTAGTTATGATGGTTAATTGTTAGTCTCTTCTGTATTCATGTATGTTTCTGTGAACTGTCTTCCCTTCTTTGTTTTCCTTTATCTGGTATTGAAAGTCTTCAGAACAGGTATAACATTTGCTTGTTTGTGAACATAGTTGTAAAAAATCCTTTCTCTCTGTTGTTCCATAGGTTAGCTTCAGTCCTCAAGACAGCACCCAGCTTTGTATCACTGGAAATGGCTTTTTTAAACTTTTTAAGTACAGTGAAGGAAATTTGAAGCAGATGAATTTACAAAAGGGAGAGCCAGAAAACTACTTGTGCCATGCCTGGCTGTCTGAGGAGAAAGTTGTATGTGGCACTGACACAGGCAAACTTAGCGTGTTTGAAACTGGAGAGCTGCACTGGGAGACAAATTTAGAGTACAGAAAACCACCCAGGGAACTAGAAGAAGATGCAACAACAAAAGAATATGAGAGGTAAATCTGCTAAATATTATTACTGATAGTTTCATGTTTGTGCATGCAGATTAGTTGCAGGCCATTGACTGACTTCCTTCTTGTCCAGCTTATGATTTTGATTGCTGCCAATTGAAATTTTTTGATTTGTCTTTATTCTTAAGTCTTTATGCATTTCCTGCTTGCAGCTCTCTTGATGTTTCTTGTGGACTGGCCTCTGAAGATATTACACAACATAGTTCTTTGCCTCAAATATCTGCAGTTGCAGCATATTCCAAAGGCTTTGCATGTTCACCTAGCCCAGGAGTTGTTCTTCTGTTTGAGAAGACCAAGGGACAGGAAGCCTACGAGGAGAGTCAAGAAATCTGGGTAAGGAGAAAAAAGCTTTTCTAAGCAATTATACAGCAGAGGCCTGTGTAGAGGACTGTGAGTGCTTCTGATGCAGTTATTAATAATAATTTTTAGCACATTCTAAATTGCATTGTAAGCATTAGCTAACTGTGCTGGTGATGTTGAAAGGAAGGGAGTTGCCAAAGATCACACTGCAAGTCAGTGGCTGATATCCAGGTAATTCTGCAGGTTCCCTTCCCACATGTAAAATGTGCTTTGAGGCTGCTAAATTTCAGGGAACCTTTAAGAAACTTTTATCTGCGGAGACTTTTGGAGATAAGAAGCAGTTTACATAAGTTTTGAAGAACTTGGCTGCTTGGTGTTTTCCCAAGGAGAAGCTTTTCTCCCCTCAGATATTTATTAGAGCTGTCATGAGACTTGTGCACTCTTAAATAATCCAGTAAGGTTTCTGTTCTACCTGTTCTATAGTGTATGCCTTGACTTTCTGCAGTCTCTGGCTGAGAACACTTAGCTCTAATGACCTGGTCAAGACTTCATACTCTGGTCCTAAAAGGTCAGATCTTTCCTATGCTTGAGACCCTGTAATAGGTGTTATCAACCTGAATGATACACTACGAAGAACTGTTATTCTGAGATCACAATTTTTAGCAGTTTTCATTCTGGCACTTGCTAGGTTTTTTCTTGATGTTTTTCTGCCATCATTTTCAGTCTTGTTTAATGCAGTACATTAGATTACTGCTGAAATGTCTTCTGATACTTTGTTTCAGCTGTAATGCTATAGATACAGTTGTCCTCTTGTCCTCTATTCCCTGCCTTACAGTAGTTACATGGTATTAAACATCCCATTTGCCTTGCTGCTATTGTGTATATCCTTATTAAAGTAGCATTTCAGAAATGTCTGTGTGTGTGTGCCTACTACCAAAACATGGAAACCTGGCATATCCCATAGGATGCATTTTCTGTGCAGCTTCCTCAGGACCAGTTCAGAACTGAGCCAAAAAAGTCAGACCGACAGGACATTACATGTATATGCTTCAGCCCCTCTGAGGAAACAATGGTCATTAGCACAAATAAAAATCAGCTATACATGTTTCCTATGGTCTCCACCAAACTTATAAGGGTAAGTGCAATCCTATCACATTCCACAGCCATCATGTCCAGTAAGGGATGTTTGTAATGTCACAGGCTATTCAGTGTTGTTTTCTGTGATGCATTCTCATAAAATCCTTCAAATAGCATCTGAACCCTTGATTTTTTTTTTAAAGTATCTACAGGGCCAGGAGGTATTAACTGAATTCTTGCAGTGTTATAACCCACCCCAGAAGGGGAGGGTAACACAGGTTCTTGTTAATAGATCCCTTGGGGCAGATTAGAGTGAAATAACACTGATGATTGGTGTTTGTAAATATATTTATGTAGGGTTTATTTTAGAACAATTTGGTTTCAAAGAAATCCAGCTATGTAGCCGTTTTGGTTGTTATCATCTATAGTAATATAGCAATATAAAAGCATAAAAATAACATTTCAGAAAATGTATAAGGAAAAGAAAGAGAAAGAAAGGATAAAAGTTGAAAGATATATGATCACCACACATTGGATCCAGGAATGAAACTGTTATGTTCAGAGCAGTGCAGTTAAAGCATTAAGTGGTTTCCTCATTCTGCTACTGTATGCAAAGACCCACGAGAGATTTCTTGTCTGAGTTACTGCCTGCAATGAAATATTTGTGATTTTTTAATGTTCTCATTCCTTCTCAGGAGAAGACATCTTATTTTGCATATCTGAATTTCCCATTGCATTCCGATTCGATCACTGGTCTGGACATGTGTATTTGGAAACCCATTCTTGCTACTTGTTCCCTGGATAGATCTGTCCGCATCTGGAATTACAAGACGAAGTAAAGAGTTATTTATCTTTGTTATTACCTCTTACTTTTTTGTATATTGTGTTTAGCAGGCAATCTTATATGAATGAGAGTGTTGTTCTGGTAAAATTCTTGTGTGGTGTGGGACATAAATGGTCTTACTGGCATGATTTGTGGAGTGTGAATATGCAGTGCCTTTAAAATCAGTGCCAAAAGAATCCAAAGCCTTTTCTATTAAGCTATTTTTTATGTCAGACTTCTCGTGTTTTGGGGAAAAAATATCTTCAGGAAAGTTTCGTTCGGCTTTGTCTTCAGATACTGTTGTCCCATCTCCTGCTTCTTAGCCATAGTTCTCAAGCATAATGACTCCAGCTTTTAAGGTTCTGTGGAGGGAGAGAGAGAAGAAACCAAATCTCAAGAGATGTTTATGTAGCTTTGCAATCAGCAATTCATTTACCTTCTTCATTATATTCCAGTATACAAGAATTTGCTCTTGCACCTTCCACACCTAATCTGTGAACCAGAAAGTCAAATTTGCCTTTGT